ATCTGCTTAGGTCGAACGGAAAACTTTAAGTTCATTGTAATGGAACTAGTTGGAACAAGTATCGATAATTTACAGAAAAAGATGCCCGGAAGACGATTTTCGTTCGTTTTTTGCTTATTGATTCCATTCATCTGTTCCGTTGTGCAACTGAATTTCAGTTTAGGAGAATAAGAATGTCATTCGATTGAGAAAACAGGGGAAATGTGATGTTATTGTTGATGCAATGAAAGTTGTTAGGAACAATAGAAAAGGGAATTGAAGAAGTAATCGTTCTTGTCGTGTTCAACTGGAACATATTTTCAAGACTTTCAACATCGATAAAACTCGGCATTGAAACGGTCGAAGCGATTGGACATTTACACGACATTGGCTACATACATCGTGACGTAAAGCCGCAAAATTTTACGATCGGCAATGGTGAAAAGGCCGATAATATTTACTTGCTGGATTTCGGTATTGCTAGACGATACATCGAAAAGTTTACAAAAGCGATCAGGTGCCTTGATGATCTGATTTGCTCTCGATTGATCGCACATCGATTGATCTCTTCATACGAAATCGAGATGATCGTTCTAATATTTCAAAGATGACATCAATTATTGATGTACTCACAAGTTTATTTCCACTTAATGATTCCTCATTACTCATACTGATTCGTCACGTTAGAAGTGTAACTGCGACTGCGTGCTCATTGGTTAGACTCGTGAGCATGAGCAGCTCTCTGCTCATGCTAACATCCGCTCATGTACCCACGAGTCGTCAGCGCTGATTGTGATATCGAATTACAGTGATATACAATTCCATGAACACATCTCCAGATAATTGCACTGCGAATTGCTTTCTGTACATTCTGTTCAGGTTATCGCTGTGAGCTGATTTTGGCTGCTGAACGTTCTGTTTGAAATTGATTAGGAAAGTATCTTGTAATAACCACTTTTAGGATACCGCGAAGACAAGTGAAATTTATTGGTACGATAAGATTTGCGTCACGAAGTTGTCATCTGGGCAAAGAGCAGTGCAGACGTGATGATCTCGAGGCATGGGTTTACATGCTTATCGAATTCACACAATACGCCATTTTGCCGTGGTCGAGAACAATCAATCGCGAGACGGTTCTTCGCGAAAAACAACGTTTATTTAATGGAAAATGTTCGTCATTGCACCGTCGCTTTCATTAGCTTAATTGAATTTCCCAATAACAAGTTTTTGAGGATGCAATTAGAAACTGACAGAAAATATGGCAGATTTAATTGCGTCTAAAATACTGCATAAGTGGGTTTTGCTCTGCATGAACAATCTACCGAAAGGATTCTAATGATCAAAAATCCTTAAGTTCAGTTCGAATCGTAACCTTTCAAATGAATTTTGAACCTGTTAAATATCATGCATGAAAATTGCCTGAAAAGGTCAACCTCTTGCATGACATAAGGATTGCTGAATGTTATTATGAAATCAATAGAAAACAAGAAAATGAAAAATATGCCATTTATAAAATTTTTATGGATGAATGACTCAGAAGTGAAACTCACAATATTTCAGTCATAAAGCATATCGCCGAACTACCCTC